GACAGAGTGATTGACAGGGTCAATAGCTATGCATGTGATTGTTGGCAGGAAGGTTGCATGGGACATTGCTCACAGTCCTGTATTCCACCAGCATGGCAGTATGCCCAGTGGTTAAAGATACCAATACTAGTGTTAGATTCTTGAGTTCAAGTCCAGGCTCTGCCACTTGGTAGCTGGGTAGTATGGGCAAGTTACTTAACTCTCTTAAGCCCAGTTTCCTCAGCTGAAAATGAAGATAGTAATAGTAACACCCTCCTCAACACTTTTTTAATTTTAGCATTCTAAATAAGATAATGCAGATAAAGCATTTGGCAGAAAGTAAGTCCTCAATAGATTTTAACTATTTTTTTATTTGAAAATCTATTTGGCTTTATTAAGCAATTCGTGAATCACGCAGCATCCCATCTAGCAAGTGGAGGGGAGCTCCGTAGATTTTAACTATTATATGGTTACTCTAATTTTTATGACTAGAAGGTTGTCTGATCATGCCCACTCTGGGCATGCTCACTGGCTTTTTATTCTTATTTTTCAAGTTGAATGCAGGCAGATCCCTGATTTCACACCAAATGCATTAATTTTCTAGTCTTGTATACACACAGTAATCAAAGTGGGCTTTTACTGCCCTAAGGTCAAAAAACATAAAATTTTATCTGTAGTATGAACACCCAAATTTGACATAGGAAAAGAAGTTTGAGAGTATCAGAGATTAGTACAAGAAAGTGCAGGCTTTTAAAAGGCAAATACGCAAAGTTGAGAATGGTCTTTTCCCTGAATGAACGTCTGGAATGACTGCAGGTAGATCAGTACTCTCATGATACCAGCTAATGCCAGCTACTTCTGAGTCCAAGGGGGCTTTTTTCCTAGCAATTCTGGGAAATCCACATCTTTTTACTTTTGTTTTTTTTGATGCTGCCCAGTGTGACAGAGATGGCTAATTGCCACAATATTCATTTCTCCCTTCTTTTTTGTTAGAGGGCAGTGATTTTTAGTTGGACCGTTGGCTACTCAGAATATGGACTACATTTCCCAAGCTCCCTTGCAGCTAGGTGTGTGGTCATGTGACTAAGCTCTAGCCAAAGGGCTGTGAAGAGATGTGTTCTTGCAAGGGAAGGTGTACTTTCCTTTCTTTTCCTACTCAGTCAGGATGTGGATGTTGTGGTGAGCTACCTGGATCATGCAGATGAGAATAACACCCTAAGAAAGGTAGAAGGAACTCGAGTTTGGACGCTATGGAGCAGCCACATTATATGAGAGAAAAATAAACTTCTGTTTAAGTCATGGTTACTTGGTCTCCATTACTGCAATTTTATCTATATCATAAATAATACAGGCAGGAATGAATATGTAAGTAGAAGTGTCTTCCCAGCACGTGTCTCCTCCCCCCCCCCCCCGCCCCCAACCCTTGTTCTTTTGCCTGGCTTGAATCCTGGGGAATAATGCTGCTGTGTGGGTGTGGGTGTGTGGGTGTGTGTTTTGTTTTACTCCACGTGTGAGAATTCATTCGCTGAACACACACAGTATTTATACTGAGAGTTACAGGTATTTTACCTTGTATATACATATATACGTATACCTGTATATCAATCATAATTCCCATGTTTAATGAACATACAGTCTAGATTGGAAAATCTAATAGTATGAGAAATAATATATGGCCAAATGAACAAGATAATGGGCATTAGAAAGTTTCTGAAAGCCTGGACCATCATTTTCACTTTGAACCCAATGAATTACCTGTGAAAGTAGAAAGCTAGTCTCTGGAAGGACAAGGGATGGGAGTTGACTTCGTTTGGTTTTCCCCACTGTTTATAGAACACCCTACTCACAGATTTCTTTCAGTTCTGTGTCAGGTTGCCCCCTCCATGGTCTTCCGGTTCTTCTTGGGCACCCTCCTCTTCCCCACCCACATAATGCCCCCCGCTCCAAGCCTGGCCCTCCTTCATCCCTTTGTGTGAGGTAAGCAGCCAGCATCACTGCCCCACTTTCATAGACAGAGCAACTGAGTCATTTTGCTATTGTTGCTGGACCAAAGTTAACCAGTGAGTCATTCTAAAGTCCTAGAACGGGATCCTAATTCTTGTTCTTGGCACCATTTGCAGAACCGAATTAGACGGAAGGTACAAGAGGATGCTGGCCTTTGAACAGCTCAGAGAGGAATGCATTTGCGTGTGACTTGGTTAAAAACAAGGATTAACTCTCTCTTGAAACCTGCCCGCCTGAAAAAGAAAGGGGAGAAATGTATCAGTGTAACATCATCGTCATACCAAAAGGATGCTTAACTGCTCTCAAAATGTTCTGCAAGTTCTTTGGTTCATGCCTTCCTTGGTACTAGGTTTTTAAACAGAAAATATCTTGTTTGCAGTTGAGGCGATCAATTTTCTTCATCTTACAATAGTCGCATATGTGAATTTAGATCTGGGAGGAAACAATTTATTTCCTTCTTTTCACAAGAGAATCTTTAAAGTATCTAACAAACACAAAAATAAATTTTAAAAAAGTATCTAATAGACAAAAAATGAGCTTGCTCATGTATTAAAATTAGTAACACAAGCCATTCCAAACACAAGCTGTTCATATTTAGTAGGGAGATGCTTTTTATGTACCCTTTTCTGTATAGGTTAGAATTTCCTAAATTTTATCCTTTCCTGGGGTCTTTCTTTGCATCACATGTAACCCCATTTCTTCATCCTTTCACCCACCCTCCTAGCCAAGTTGATGAGAGGCACAGGGTGTCCCCACAGTAGTAACTCCGGATTTAAAAGTAGTAACAGTGTCAGTTTGAAGGCAGGTTACAGCTTTTGTATATTAAATGTAGTGACTTTATCCTTTGTTTCATAGCTATGGGAAAAGGGAACATTTTGGAAAGCAGAGAGAGGATTTCTTACGGGTAATCCAGGAACCCTTAAAGCTGTCTTTCTTAAAATTACCACCTGCAACAACCCTTTGGACTCTACCCAGACACCCTGAGTCAGGATCCCTGAAGATGGGTCATGGGATTCTGAACTTTAACAAACTTCCCAGGTGGTTCTTATATCCACTAACGGTTTGAGAATCTCTGCTCTGAGGAGTCTGTAGATGGTGTTGAGGGGCTTCATATACAAAGTGTGGTGCGAGTGCTCATGTGCATTTTTCTGAAGGAGATTCTCAAGGAGTTCTGTGACCCCAGAAAAGGTTACGTCCCTAAATGGCCAATAAATGTAGGAAAAAAAGTCCTATCTCACTTATTAGTGAGCAGGAACTAAAAAACATTAGTGAACAGAATGAAAAATCTGACACAGTGTTTGGCAGATATCTAGAAAAGTAGGAATTCTCATACATTGGTTATGAGAACTAATGGTTACAGACATTTTGGGGAGCAATTTGACAATAGCTAGCAAAATTTAAAGTACATTCTCCTTACAACCCACTTTTCAGTAAGTACAAACTCGTGAATGTATGACCATGTCTTGTTTAAGCATATTCTATGGGGTATTCTTTGTTTATAGTCGCAAAAAAATTGGAAATAACCTAAATAAAAGGTAATATAATTAGTGTTCAATTACTATAAAGTGATTACAAGGAATGATCTAAATCCACATATTAATAACTATGAAAATAGGGGTGCCTGGGTGGCTTAGCCGGTTAAGTGTCTGCCTTCAGCTAAGGTGATGATCCCAGGGTCCTGCACCTGACTCCGTGTCAGCGGAGAGTCTGCTTCTCCCTCTTCCTCTGCCCCTCCCCCCGAGTCATGTGCTCGCTCTCTCTGCTCACTCTCTCAAATAAATAAATCTTTAAAAAATTATGAGAATAATAATAGTTAATACATGTTTACTGGCACAGTTCTAAGAGTTTTGCATATATTAACAAAAATTCTGGATCTCAGGACATAATATTGAGTGGAAAAAGCACATCATAAAATGATACCCATTGTGATACTATTTATGTCTAAAAGTACAAAATAATGCCTACCTTATATGGTTTATCAATACACATGTAGTAAAAATATGGAAACATGGATTTCCCAAATATACACAAAATTCTCTGTAATTGTGGTCTAGGGTGGCACTAGAGAGGGCTTATAAGACTGGAGGCATTTTGGGCGCCTGGGTGGCTCAGTTGGTTAAGCGACTGCCTTCGGCTCAGGTCATGATCCTGGAGTCCTGGGATCGAGTCCCACATCGGGCTCCCTGCTTAGCAGGGAGTCTGCTTCTCCCTCTGACCCTCCTCCCTCTCATGCTCTCTGTCTCTCATTCTCTCTCTCGCAAATAAATAAAATCTTAAAAAAAAAAAAAGACTGGAGGCATTTCGATCTACTTCAATTTATCAGATATATGTCATTTTCAAAAGACCTGTAATTAACAAACACTTATATAGTACTGTACTCTCACAACCAATCAGCAAGTTGTGATGATTAATTTTATATGCCAACTTGACTGGGCTAAGGGGTATCCAGAGAGCTGGCAAAATGTTATTTCTGGATGTATTTGTGAGGATGTCTCTGGAAGAGATTAGCATCTGAATCAGAAGACTGAATAAAGATCACCTTACCCTATGCAAGTGGGCATCATCCAATCCATTGAGCACCCACAGAGAGCAAAAAGGCAGAGGAAGGGCAAATTTGCTCTTTGCTCGAGGTGAGGCATCCATCTTATCCTGCCCTCAGACATCTGTGCTCCTGGTTCTTGGGCTTTTGGATTCATACCAGGACTTACACTGTTGGCCCCAACTTTTAGATCTTCTCAGAATTCATGATAATTAGGGAATAGAGGGCTTGAGGTTGCCAGCCATGTGCCTTAAATTTAAGATTAGGAAAACTGGAAGAACTCCAAATATGCAATTTTGATTTAACAAAAGCAAGTGTCTTTCCCTCTTTCCCCACCCCACTCCATATTTTTAAAAAAATGCGGGGGGGAAGCCCAGGAAAAAAAAATTGGTTATGGCTACTCAGGTAATTCTCCTTTCAGCCAGATTTCAAATTTAGAGCTCTTTACTTCCAACTTCTCTGTCCTCTTTGATGACAGGATTAAGTGGATGTACAAGGACCTGCACATTTGGTACCAGCATCCTCCCAGTTCACCCCATACCTCACCCACGTGGACTCATCATCCTCATTTTTGTGCTGCCAAACTTTGCGCATACCACTTCCTTGCCTGGGAAGGATTTTCTGGTTCTGCTCGCCTGGAAAAGCCCAATCATTCTTCAAGAACCAGCTCCAAGGTCACCTCCTCTATGAAGGCTCCCCTGAGAGAGGAGGGAACTGTCGTCTATACACTCAGTTATTCACCCGACACATGCTTATTGAGTGCTGTCCGCACCCTTCAGCCAAGACCACCAGGAACATGCCAGCAATGAACTAAGGTGGGTTTATTACTCATTGATGGAAGGAAAACGTACTCCATGGGTCATCTCTGTAACAGAGTGTTACAGAGAACTTATTATAAGATTTGGGCTTTGGTTGGCTGATTTAGGGAGTGTCTAAGAAATCAAGAATCTGCTCTAAATTGGAAACCATCAGAGAGTGAGGGCAGTTCTATGACTGGGTTTGATGGGTGGCACAGTGACCTTGTTTTTGTCTTTGCATAGACAAAATTATGCAGTGACCTTGTTTTGTTGCACTTCATCATGGTTCAGAGTAAGTTTATCTGAGGTTGGTGTTCTGTGAGACTGTTCATGTGCAACAGGAGAACAAAATGGCCTGACTATGAGTGTCCGACCAGCTTGTAATACTATTACAGTCCACCTGTGATTATTTGTGGGTGTCGGGGGCTACTTTCTTTTTTCTTAGCACCTACAGTACAGCAGTTGTTGGGCTGTGATATTGTCTGTATGTCTGTTATATCACTCAGCATGTTGTATTGTGTAGCGACAGTGCTGGTATCTCTTGCCATTCGAACCCTCCCTGACAGTGAGGCGGCCATGGGATGTTGGTGGGACTGACCCCACCTCCAGCTTCACTGATGAGTCTTGATTTGTCTAGAACACCCCAGTGACTGGTTCTGGGATGGGCACTGCAGATGGTGTTTCCTGGAAATGGACACTGAGATTTGCATGCAGAATAGTTAGGGGGGAAGGCTCACAGGAAGGATGTAGCAGAGCGAGGGAAATCCAATGGCGCAGTGGGAGAGGTTGACCTGTTGTACGTTTGCAACAAAGGCTGTATCTGATCCTCTACGGGAGCTCTGGAGCTGGGACGTCCCTTCTGAGAGGTCTGAACTGAGACAGGACCAGGCTTTTGTACCCACCCATTGATCAGCCATTGGAGGCAGTTTCTTCCCAAAAGGGGCAGGCAGCTCCTTTGGGCTAGAGCAATGCCTAAAGAGGAACTCATTTACGAACCACCAACAACATCACTCCCAGCAGTGGGTGATGAGAGTTTCAATCCTGAAAGGAAAATCTAGGGAACTATGACAAGTTGTGTTTATGGGAGAGAAGATGAAAGATAAGATAGGCAAATGCCCATCTGATTTTTTAAGAAAGAGGAAGGTAAATTCTGCAAGTGGTCTAGTTTCTTGATTATCTCACATCAGGTTCTAGAAGAGATGTTGAAATCTTAGTGAAGGAGAAGAAGCAATGTTTACCAGGATATGCTCATTAATAACAACAAAAAAGTGCAAAAATAGTCAAGGGTTTGCATGATGTGACATGACCATGGAATTCAATGTAATGGGGATAAACGAAAGATACTGTATTTGTTTCCAAAACACCAATGGCACACTTTTAGGATGTGACACGGCTTAGCAATAGTATGTGTGACAAAGGCAGAGAGATTTTATTTGAAAATAAATCCAATTTGAGTCACCTATGTGATGTGATCATGAAGAAAGCCACTGCAGTCCTGGGTTGCATTAAATTAAGCTTAGTTTGGTCTTGTGACTTACTGATTGATGTGCAAGTCTTATCTGATGACCTAAACAGAAACAGATCCTGTTTGAACACCCATTTTGAAAAATTAGTTGTCCTTCCTCCCTCAAACCTGGCAGAGTCTTATTGAGAAACCAGTATGTGTGATTCAGTCAAGGGTAGTACCTGCTTATGGATCACATTTGTGGCTGCATGGCGAGTAAGGTCCACCCAGGTTCAAGTGATCTGTCTGTCTATTCATGTGCCATTACCATGCTATATTAATTATAGAGGCATTTTGGTATATGACTATCTGAAAGAGCTAGTCCTCCTGCATAGCTCCTCCTTTTTAGTGTTTCTGAGAAGATTTTTGTTGGTGTCGGTGATCTATAGGTTCCTATCCTCTCTGACCCCTATCTCCTCATTTCACACGAGTTGAACATGGGTGTGGATGAGAAAAAGGAAACAGTGCTTCTGGGCATTCACCTCTGTCTCTCTCTCCCTGCCCCTACACTCCTCTTTCTCCAAGAGACTTGGTGAATGTGGGCTCTGTTGACAGACAGACACAATCTGACTTCCATTCTTGGCTCAACTGCTCATCCCCTGCAATCCTGGACAAGTCCCCTAAAATCCCTAAGCCTCAGTTTCCTCATCTATAAAGTGGGCAAATGACGCCTTCCACAGAGTGAGAATGAAGGGAAATGATATGCAGAAAGCACTTAGCCCAGAGCCTGGTACAGAGAAGGGGCTCCATAGATGGCAGCCATGTTCGCTGTTGTTCTTGTAGCAGATGGTGCTTTGTTATTATGGTTCCTGTTATTGTTAGCATCAGCGACTCCTTTATTTCCTTCCTTTTGATTCATGCATTTGAATGGGGAAAAGAAAGACATCTCCATTTTATCTAACCCTTCCTTGAAATCTAGCTTTTCCTTCTAGTAAGAATGCAGGCAGCAGACTGCAGTGGTGTTAGCATTGTGACTTTGTCACCATAGAAATCACAGATCTTTTCATATTACCTGATAGTCTCAAAACGTCTCCCATTGCTCTTTGAAAGGACAGTAGTTATTTGACCCGTCATCAGATCTTAGTACTTAAAGCACTGATGAAGGAGTACAAATATTACTATGACATACTGTTTAAATATTTGATAACCATAACAATGTAGTTGTTTTCTTTTATAGTTCTATGTATTTAAAACCTTATTATGAGAAGGTGTCTGTGGGCTTTACCTGCCTGCCAACAGGCACCATGGTGCATAAAGGGTTAAGGGCCCCTGCACTGGGGCCATGTTGCCTCTTCTGGCTGGTCAGCTCAGTTGGTTAAAGAGCAGTGAAGGTCACAGGGTCAGTTCACCTCACTTCATTCTATTCCTCAGCCCCAGAGGCTGGGCAGCATGTCCAGAGACACAGAACAGGGTAAGACCCACCAGAACAAGCCCATCTCTTTGGCAGGTAACAGAATGTCCTGTGGATGGCGGATTAGGCTTGGCATAGCATTATGGGAGGGGTGGGCTATTTGGATATGAAAGTTGATAGTTGGCAAAACATAATAAAGGGAGAAATGAATCGCTTGTAACTGATGGTAGGCCCTGTGACTGATCAGCAGTTCTTCATTCTGACTGTCTCTCTCAGTCCAGGCTTTTTGTTCTCCGTCAAGTAAGAATACTTCCTATTCCTTTCTGTCCTCATCCCCACTCATCTCTTTCTCCATCTTGTCTTTGCTTCTCTCTCTTTCTCTCATTTTCCTCCTTTTTTCCCCTTCTCTAATTCCCTTTCCCCCACTTCTTCAGGAGAGAAGCAATAGAAAATTCTGAATTTAGTATTGGGCACAGAGTGGACATTCTTTTCCATGCCTGACCTCGTATTCTTGACACTGACACTTGGCTTTGAGCCTGTCCTCGTGCCCCTTGCTGTCATCACACACCCATGCGTGTGTGCAGGCAGACACACACGCGCACACTCTGCATCTCTTTCTCTCTGACACACACTCACACCTCAGAAAGATTATATTTATAATACCCTAGGGTATTTCCAAATGCCAGTATTCGTTTTGGGAGCACACTTGTCTCTGTTGCTTGGAACAGACTGAATTTTCCACTGGCTCAGAGTTTTGAAGTTCTTCCGGCTGAGGGAGGAGTGAGAGACTCCAGGGGACCAGCCATATGTCAGAGCGCTATCAACTTTCTGCTCAGAGGGTCGTGCTCACTAGAGCAGAACATTTGTTGAAGGATTCACAGCCGCATCTGGCCCAAGCAGCTCATGTTGGGTCTTTTAAAATAAAACTTGCTGGGGGACAGGGCTTCTAGAGTGGAGAGACCAGGTGTCGAGTGAGAATAGACCCTACCAGGCTGACACAGGCCATCAGAATAGATGTTTCTGAGGCCCAGAGAAGAGGAGGGTTTTGAAACCAACAAATCCCCAAAGGACAGATTATAAGTTTCACTCAATGTCTGTGCATTAATTGGAATTCACTTTCAATTTGGAGTGGCAGCTGAAGGCTCTCATTTCTCAAAACTGGAATCAAGGCTGCCTTTATGCAAAGGCAGATTTGAGCAGTTCCTCTCCTCTTCCTTGAATTTAGCTGTTCCATGAAATATCCTTAAAGGAGTTCAAAAACAGCCATTCCACAATTAGAGCTATGGCTTGAAATCCTCATTCCTGTGAGAGTTGACTCACTGACTTTAATTCACACTAAAGTGTGAATGACTAACCCAAGATTCTTTCCTTTCTTGCAAACAGGTTTATTAAATAAGAAATATGGGTAAGAAAAAAAAAAAAAGAAATATAGGTAAGAGAGACGGGGAGAGGTTCACAGAGAAAGAGAGGAAGGGAGAGAGAGAGATGCAGATGTCTGAGAGGAAATTGGATGGAAGGACATAGAAAAATGGGATACTGGAGATTTTGTAACTTTATAAATTTTTTAACTTTATAACTTTATGGATTTCAGAGTCTGTCCCAATTAATTTTCAGGAGGCCATTACTTAGCTTAATTATGGATAAGTTTTTAGCACTCACTTTCAAACTGGACTTTATATTGATTGGTTTTCTTAGCCTCATATGAGAAGCTCTTTAGTGGGTAAAATGGGAAGATGGCAAGAGAGAGGAGGAGGCACTGAAATGAATCAGAACCTTTGGTCAGAGGATGATGTTTCATCACCTTCCATGTCATTTCATCAGATGTCATTTCAAACCAGTTAAAAATGCTCTTCCCTTCTACTTCACAGTAAACAAATCTAGGGAGAATTCTTTCACTTCCCCAAATCACCATTCTTTAAGTGGAATTTGTTTGAACAGTTTGATATTGATTTCTAGTCCAGCTTCCATTTGGTTCCTATACAGGTCACTAAGCAAAAGGGAATAATATGATGTCACATGTTTCCACATATAAATGTCACCTGATGTTAGCTGTTCAGTGAGCTCCGAAGTCAAAAGAAGGGTTACCGCCAGCAGAGAAGTATCACTTCCCACACAGGATGTGCTGTACCACACGTACATGTATCGCATTCATTAAGCAGTTCC